AGTGTGTGACTCTAGGATCAAGGCTGTGTGACTACTAAATCAGTTCACTGACTGGTTTGGCATAGTTCTGGCTAAGATTGAAGGTGCCTCACCGTGGGTGTGAGCGCTACCCTAAGGGCAGGTAGCCTGGATAAAACATAAGGGACAGAAAGAAGGCTAGCACCCTTACTTGTCACTTGTCGCTTATTTGTCCTGCTTTGCCATGAATTGTTTCACCTCTGCCATGCCATCCTGGCCTTGGACCAGCCAACTATGAACTGAAACCTCTACAAATGGAGCTAAAAAAAAAAACCCCTTTCCTCCTTTAACTTTGGGTGCCAGTTATTTTGTCTCAGCAATGAGAAAAATAACTAAGACAGGATCTCACTAAGTAGCTCAGGCTGGCCTTGAACTCACTATGTAGCCCAGGGTGGCCTCAAACTCATGGTGATCCTCTAGCCTCAGCCTCCCAAGTGCTGGGATCACTGGCATGTACCACTACACCCGGCTAGAAATTGACATTTCAAAAAATACAATTTATAATAGAATCAAATTATAGCAAATATGCAGAGAGTAAACTAAAATATATAATATTTATATTCATCTGAGACTAAAAACTTTGACGCAGGGCCAGGGATTTAGCTCAGTGGTTTCGTCGCCTGCTGCGCAAGCGCTAGGACCCGAGTTTGATCCCCGGTACCAAAAAAAAAACCAAAACTTTGATACAAAGATATCTTGTGATGAAGACTCAATCCTTAAAATATTAATTCTCCCTCAATTATTCTATAGATTGAATGCACAGTTCCAAAATATTAGTAATCTTATTTCTATAAATTGACAATCATATTTTAAAATTCACATAAACATGCAAAGAACTGGGATGAGGATGAAGCTTGAGGAGGTTGTTCAAAAATGTATACTCGAAACCAGCTAACAACACAGACATTTTTAAATTACATGAGCCAGGCATGGTGGAGCACATCTGCAATCCCAGCACTCGGGAGGCTGAGGGAAAGAGGATCGCCGCAAGTTTTGAGTCCAGCCTGAACTACACGGTGAGACCCTGTCTCAAAAGAAAAAAATTACAGTAGTGAATTATTAAAATTCCCTGTGACTTGACTTAAATGTGCTCTACTACCATTAAACACAGAATGTAGAAAAACCCCTAAAGCTCAGAATAAAACAACCTTGAATTCCCTGACCAAGCCCTATCTTTCTATAAACAGAGGAAAATGGTAACTCTGCCCTTAAACGACCTTTCCCTGAAAAGAAACTGTGGCCCAAGTCTTCCACCACCCATCAGGATTAAGGAGGAACCTATACTATCTCCCCACTGCATCCCTCACCTGCCCTAAGTCAGCCGTGGTTAATACGTATGACTCGACCCTTGCTTATTGCATGTCAGCCCCCAAGAAGACAGGTCTGCCTCAACTGCCTCAACCCCTGTTGAGGTTGCCACACATCCCCTGCTGCTCCTTGCACTTTCTCTCATCTCAGTCACTACAGCCATATGGTAAAATAACAATCTGACTGGTATTTTAAACAGAAGTGAAAATAAAAAGCTATGCAAAATTGTTTCTCTTAAAATTCTTAACCATGACCCTCAAGTGGAATCTTGTGGCTACCCAGAAATGGGACTAAATTTCCCTAGTAAATGTTCTTTCCCCTTATTATTTCATTCCTTTTTTCTTTGCTCAAATCTCCTACTACTACCCTCATACAAAGCTAGCTTTGTGGGCCAGGGATTTAGCTCAGTGGTTCCAGCATTTGCCGTGCAAGCACAAGGTCCCGAGGAGTTCAATCCCCAGTACCAAAAAACAAAACAACAACAAAGCTAGCTTTGTATCTCACTAAAAAAAAAAAATTCCACAAATACCACCCCTATATCTCTTTATACATCATGTATTTCCCATATTTTTCGGCCTTCTCTTCCATTACAGTACTAACGCCCGCTTTTCAAGTGGGCAGATCTCATTCTTTTCATAATTTTCAGGATACCACTCTAACAATTTTCTTGCCTTCTTTATTATTATTTCCCATTTCTTCTGGATCATTCCCTTTTTTTTAGTCTTGCTATGTAGTTCAGACTGGCCTTGAACTCACTATGTAGCCCAGGGTGGCCTTGAACTTGAAGCAATCCTCCTGCCTCAGCCTCCCAGGTGCTGGGATTGCAGGCGTGCACCACCATGCCTGGCTGGGTCATTCCTTCTAGTAAACTATCATGCTATTATTTCTCTTGTTTAAAAAATATCTT